TCCCTTCAGAAGCAGCTGGAAGAGGCCGAGAAGAACCTCGAGGACTCACAAAAGTCCGGAAGCGGTTTGGTCTCCAAAGAAGTATCTGACCATAATATTCAAGAGGTTATAGCAGAATGGACTGGTATACCAGTATCAAACATTTCGAAGTCAGACATGGAGAAGTTAGTCATAATAGAGGATGTTCTCCATCAAAAGGTTATTGGTCAAGAAGTTGCAGTTAAATCAGTTGCTGATGCTATTCGACGTTCAAGGGCCGGAGTGTCTGACCCGAAAAGGCCAATAGCGAGCCTCATGTTCATGGGCCCTTCCGGCGTTGGTAAGACTGAGCTGGCTAATGCATTAGCTGGTTACCTCTTTAGCACGGAAGAAGCTCTCGTGAGAATTGACATGAGTGAGTACATGGAAAGGGGTTCGGTTTCTCGCTTGATCGGTGCATCTCCTGGACTTGCTGGTCCTAAAGAGGGACAGCTTACTGAAGCAGTTCTCCGGAGACCGTATTCTATTATTCTATTTGATGAGATTGAGAAAGCACATCCTGATGTATTCAATATCTTGTTACAGCTTTTGGGCGATGGTAGGGTAACTGATTCAAGTGGTAGGACCGTCAACTTCAAAAATTGTATGGTGATAATGACATCCAATATTGGGTCCCAAGATATCCTAAGAATTTCTCAAAATAGCAAGGACAGCGAGGAATCAATATATGATACGATGAAAGGACAGACTGTGGAGTTGGCTAAAGAAACTTTTAGTCCAGAGATCATGAATCGTATTGATGAGTTTATTGTTTTCCAGCCTCTGAAGTCCGACGAAATTGTTAGAATTGCTGATATACAGGTAACTTCTCAAGTTTTTATCATTTTCACTCACTTTAGTCTAATTATTTTAAGTAACTAGGGTCACTAACATATTTGCTAATTATATGTTTCAGATGAACCGTTTGAAAGACAGACTCAAAGAAAAGAAAATTGAACTCCACTGCACAAAGGAAGCTGTTGATTTTATAGCAAAGCTTGGATTTGACCCGAACTTCGGAGCCAGGCCAGTGAAAAGGGTGATACAACAGATGGTTGAGAATGAAATTGCAATGAGGGTCTTCAGAGGTGAATTTAAGGAAGGTGACTCGATTCTCATCGATTGTGACATGTCCCCATTAGCCGATGACCTTCCTCCCAAGGACAGATTGCTTATCAAGAAATTGGATACTTGAATGGTGGGAAACATGCAGAAACTTAACCTGATGAGATGTTTCAAGTGTTTTTAAGTACATTATGTAAGTTTTTTGATTAATAGAGGTTTCGGGTAACTTTGACTCCATTGTTGCAGGTAGATGGAATAGTTTCGTTATGGCACAATTTCAATATGTTTTTAAAGATATATACTGTAGTATAAATTAGAAAGGGTGAGAAGACAACTTGACAACTTCAATATGTTTGTGATCTAACAGCTGGGATGGCACTATTTTATGACCACAATAAAGAATAGGGGTAACTATCACTGTTTTTAATGATTTTCAAATCGCCTGCAAAATCCAAGGCGTACAATGGCCAAGGGACTTAGTTCTTTACAGGAGCGTATGGCTCCTGTGTGATACGTTGAACTCAAAATGGATTTTTTAGGAGATTTTAACTCCATGGTGCACCAACAAGAGAAAAGAGGCGTTTGGGACGGAAAAAATAAATTTCTTCGTTCAGTAAAGATGATATAAGAATAAAAAAAAGAGATTAGGAAGGATAATACATCTTTCATCCTTTACAAATTTTCATCCGTCAAAAAATGGGCTGAATAAATGAGGGAAGAGACTATTTTAGAAGTTTAAATTATATAAGTTTTAAATTATAGTACTATCTTTTATAGATTGCAATATTATTGGATATAAAGATAAAAATAATTAAAATTTTTTCTTTTTTTCTATCATAATAAATATAGTAAATTATGAGTTTATTCTCTTCTCTTTTATCCAACCCAACAAAAAGAAATAAATACACAATCTCTTTTATCCCTAGGAATGTCTCATCTATCCCTTTTTTCTCTCTTCTACCCATTTTTTTCTTTTCAACTTAACAGAGTATAATGATTTTAAAGGGTACCTATGTACTATACACCTAGTGTAATTTAAGTCACATAAAGCGAGGGAGCGAAAAGCCTGTGACAGTGTCGAAATCAGTCTAAAAATTTAGGGCCCTCCGATTTAGACTCGGGGTATGGTCAACACATTCCCTTGGGTTCACTGTGCCATACGACGGCCTAAATAAGTTACGGTAATGTCAGACGATTGTGACGAGGCAAGGGAGGTGTTGTGAATGGTGGTCAAACGGGCGTGGAGATAGAATTAGTGGTGGAGTGTACCGTGCATATGAATATTGTGGAGAATACCCATATTGAAGTGATGCATTTGATCATACATTTGGCCATCATCATACTCATCATCACTGGATCTTCATTCCATTTTGTATATGAAAGTGTATGGAGATTGAGAATAAAAATAATTGGACTATGCATTCCATTAATTCACTGTACTTGGACTGTGATGATGTTACACCAGTGAAGAAGAAATAGAGACAGACTTGCAGCTTGCATTACGGTAAGAGCAAGGAAAAGAATAGTGTAGACTTGAAAAGTTGAAGGAAGCCTAGAAAAAATCTCTCATGGCACAATAATAAAGTAACTTGTATTTATTTATATTTAAAAATATAAAAATAAAAAATTGAAGACATTTTTTATTTTTCATTTACAAATTTAAAATAGACATGTGTCATTCTATTATTATGTCACATTAATAATAAAAATGATATTGAGCGTTGGGTCTAATTTAAATTATAACACTTCTTGCCTTATAAATATATATATATATAGTCATTACATTGACACTTGCCCTTGTGTGGTTTTTATTTTTATTTTTATTTTTTTTCACCGGCTAAGAGGTTTGTTATATACCGTTTTAGTTTTCATCTTTATCAATAAACTTTCTGGAAAAAAAAATAAAATAATATATTATCAATAACTCGTCCAGATGGTATGAGTTCAACTCCGGTGGAAACAGCTATTAACAATTTGACTACCCCAAATCATAACTTGATTTTTGTGAATTGTTATTGAATCTGACTTATTGATAAAGGGAAGAAAAATAAGAAATTTGTAAGGAAAAAAAAAAAAAATAGAGTTTGAGTAAAAAAAGGAAAATTTAACTTTTTTTTTTTTAAGGAAATCAAAGGAATATTAAGAGCAAAAAAAAAAAAAAAAAAAAAAAGAAAAGAAAAGAAAAGAAAAATTTAGAAGACAATTTTAGAAATTTTAGGGGGATATTATATAGAATTTTTCTAATAAAGGTAAAAATTAAAATAAAAATTACTATATTTTATAGGCCAGGTCGGAGGGGCATGTGCCCCCTCTAGGCACACACTGGCTCCGTCCCTGATTATATCTACTACGTAACTAAGTCATATAGAGCAGGAGTGAAAGTGTGAGCGAGAAAAAGTTAAAGTCTAATTTTTTTTTTTTTAAAAGCGAGAGCGTCTTGAAAGCGTAGGTATAGTAGGTTTAAATAAGGTCATGACATATATATTTTGTATTTTTTTATTTATTTAAATCCATATATAAATATATTCATTATTTTTTATTCTATTTATATGTAACTAATAAGCTAACTTTTTTTATTAATAGATGTGTAATATTCTCTAATTGGAAGTTTTTTATGGTATATTTTCGAACATGTATTATATACATATTTATAGCAATGGTATGTAGCTGGGCACAGTGCATTTTATGTAAATGCATGTATGGTAATATATGTGTTCCATATCACTAGAACGGTAACAAATTTAGTTATATAAAGTGAATTCATATGGAAATCAACAAATTCACGAATTGCAAAAATTAAATTAGCGGATTTTGTGCAAATTCGCTCCCAAACCACTTTGTACGAATTGTGTGATTAAGCTACGCAGTAGATTTTTCTTCTTATACACACACAAATATATATATATATATATATATATTTATTTATTTATTTATTTATTTATTAAACACAATAATTGTCCTAGATCACGAATTTGGATGTCGGTGCACGTGCCGTCATAAATTTCTTTATTTCTTCTACTTATCATCTTCTCTAAAGCCTTCAATTGACCATATAGGTTGCGACATTTTGATGGGTCTCGGTTAGATCCGAACGTAACTTTGGTTTCCGTTGGACATTTATTTATCTCTTTGGTTTTGTCAATCTTACTGATTTGGATCTTTTTAAAATTTATAAATTTTGGGTCTATTGAAGCTCACCGATATGGGTACGTTGAAGTTCACCGATTGTGAATCTGTTGAAGCTATCCGATTTTGGGCCTGAGGCTCCTCTTTTACCAACAGTAATGAGGAGGAAGAAAAAAAAAAAAAAAAAAGAGGAGAAAACAGGTTGGTGTGCATGATAAGAAATATATATATATATATACACACACAGTTCTATATCATTAGGACGGCCAATTGCAAAAATTGAATTTGCAAATTTTGTACGAATTTACTCTCAAATCGCAAAATACTTGACAAGTAACTAAAAGAACAAACCAAACATTTATAATACAACTAATAATTATTTTTGAAGTATCAATAAAATTAACCCGAGAAATTCTTCATTTTCCTTTCCTTTCCTCTCCTTTCAACATTTCATGTCTCACACGCAATATCTAATTTCCCTTCGTTGTCATTTTTTTCGTCTCCTTCCATTTCCATGGTACCAAAACTAGTCTCTAAATGTTTTGGAGCCTAATTTTTTAAAAAAGGTTTGATAGGTTTTTTTGGTAGGTCTTCTTCTCCAAGTTTTTGTTTTTGGTAACCAGAGAAAAAAAAAGTTTTCGTATTTGGTAGGTCTTCTTCTCCAAGTTTGTGAAGATGTTTTACAAAACCCTATATCAGTCTTTCTTCTTCTTCATCTTCCCAAAACCCTACATTTGCACCCTTTTGAATACCAAAACCCCAGAATATATACAAAGTAACTCTGTTCTTCCATGGCATTCAGGCTTGCCAAGTTTGTTTCGGCCATTAATCCTGCCACGAGCTTCTCGTTTTCACCACTCTCACTCTGTCAATCTCGTTTGCCCGCTTATTATTCATCTTATCATTCGGATTCTGATGGTAATTAAGAAATGAATTATTTAAAATTGGTATTGCTATTAGAATTGAAATTATTATTGTGTTCTCTGGCAAGTTTGGAAGTAATTGAATGTGTATTATTTATTTATTATTATTATTATTATTATTATTATTATTTGTAATGTGTAGATGATGATGATGGGCTACTCAAAAAATATGGTACTGACTTGACTGAGCTCGCTAAGAAAGGTGAGCTTGATCCTGTTATTGGTAGAGACAGTCAAATTCAGCGTTGCATGCAGATATTATCAAGAAGAATGAAAAATAACCCTGTTCTTATTGGTGAGGCTGGGGTTGGAAAAACTGCAGTTGCTGAAGGGTAATGCATGTTTCTTACTCTTATTATTGTTTGTTTGTTTGTTTTTTTTTTTCCCCCTTATCAGGAAGTTGACCTTTTTGAAACCAAGTGATAGTGTCTTGTTTGCCATCTTTATGCAAGTAATATTGTAACCAGAACATTTTTATGTCTAATTTCTATTAGAAATTACTCCATAAATACATTTCTCCTCCTCCTCCTTTGAGAAATTATAATCACTTATGGGCCATTACCTAGGGCAGTGGCAAAATGCTTTGTGAACTCTGGTTCGAATCCTGATCGTAGCCACTTTGTTGAAACCAATGCAAAGGTTAGGAAGTTTGTCCCTCCTTACAACATTGATCAACAGGCCACACTGGGTGATGACCCTTTTAAAGAAATTATAATCGTTTAGCAAAATGTGAAGTAGTTGTGCTTGTAATTTGAGAAATAGTACGTATATTCTGTATATGCCACTGCTTCTCCAATTTACTGAATTTGAAGGCTTAATTTGCGCTACCGGGATGCCCTTGGCGCAAGGTAGTCACAATTTCCTTCTCCGGTATTGTGAAATCTTAAGAATGTTAAGAGTCACGAGAGATCCCCTAAGATTGAAAAGATGGAGAACCCTGAACAAGTCCAAAGTGGATGAAAGTTGTTTTATCCTACTATTTTTAGAGTCACACAATTCAGACCAAAACTACACTCAACTGTAGAATAGACCAAGTCCTAATGGTAGGAAATTTGGACTTGTTTCATCATTCCTCTTGTGCACGATTCGCGTATTATCCTTTAACACATGTTGTCTTGAGCCTAAAAAGAGGTGGGGTGGTTGGTTTTGGTAGTTGCCATTCACCACAAAATATATATTTTGTTGGATCTTGAGAACATAACTAAACCAAACTGTGGGAAAGGGATTAGCTAGAGCATTCACTAGGTCAATCTGTTGATTGCCTAACCATTAATTCATTTATTGAATGCGGAACCTTCAATTTATGTTAGTCATTTATTTTTTTGGATTTCGTTTCAAATTTGAGTTTTTTTTGTGCTGCCTACTTGGTGGCCTTTGATTGCATGTAGAGAAGCTTTCCTGCTGACGCGATGACTGCCCCCGTGGGGCACGGTAGATGCCTTTTGGACTTTCTGCGTCTTGTCAGTAAATTAAAGCATCCAAAATTTAATATTTTGAATGGTTTGACTGGATAAAATCCTCTAGATAGTAGAAGCAGTTTCAGATATGTGAGAAGTGCTCACTGTGTTCTATGAAGCACTTGCTCTCATGTACATAAAATATGATCAACTTGAAATTTGATACGAGCATTGGACAGAAACTACAGTCTCTCTTTTTCACTAGACTAAATTAGAGTCTCTTTAGTGTGCAAGTACATATGCAGTAGTAGAAATCAACCGGAACTGTTTAATGTGAGATATCTTTTTCCTTTCCATTTTCTCTTATCTCAGCCATTATTGTTCAGGCAGTCACTTTTTAGGTTAGTTAATGAACATGCTGGTGACATTTGTTTATGAAAATTCCTGCATTTTTTTTTTCAATAGCTTTCCTATTATTATTACAATTATGTGATTTTTATTTTATTTTATTTATTTTATATACAAACTTTCGAGTTGCTTTGCAGGGTAGCTCAGCGAATTGTGAGTGGGGATGTCCCACAACCTCTGTTGAACCGAAAGGTTGTTAGTTTTCAATACTTATTCTAATTTTCTTTTTAATTGAAGTTTTTTACTTATTTTATTCAGATGTGTTACAGCCATATTGTTTGAAATGATTACTTGTTATCTGGTTTTGATATATATGTTAATGTCTATTTTAATTGTAGTGGCTCAAATTTGTCTTTCTTGAACAACACCTTCTAATAAATGCTTTTCTATTTCAACTTATTGCTCCTATTGATCGTTGAGTAGATTTCTCATGCAAAAGTTTCATGGCATGTGTGATTGAATAAAAATAGGAACTTCATGATATTTTGTCAAGATGTTTTCAGATCTTGGAAAAGGTTTAAAATTGATAAATTTTTAATATGCTAAGAAAATTGAAGAAATCACAAAATATCCGAACGTTAATAAAATGTAGGTTAATTTTTTGCATGTTACTCTAAGCCAGCTTTAAAGGTGAACACACATATTCGTGTGTGTGTGTGTGTATTTAGGATGGACAAATGTTTCAATTGGAAAATATCGATTGAAGCCAACAACTTTCAACTTGGAATACTAAAGCTATAAGAAGCATTTTTTTAATCTTCAGTCAGAATTTTTATGTTTTTGTCATCCTTGTACTAATTGTTTGCATTTTGGCTTGTACTTTGCAGGTGATCTCAGTGAATGTATTTTCACTAGTGGCTGGAACTCAATTTGTTGGAACGTTGGAGAAAAGAATGGAAAAAATTATGAAGGAAGTTTTTGCTGCAGACGGGCGGATACTTTTATTCTTTGATGAGATCCACACTATGGTTGGTGCAGGTGTGTCTTCTACTTAGAATCATCCAATAGCAGTTATAATTAGAAGGCCATTAGTTAGTGTTGTCCCCTATAATCAAGGTTGCTAGAAAGGATGCACTGAGTAGATCGAAACCGACACATTATTTGCACAAATGGGCCGAATGGCTTTCCTCATGCCCAAACCATCATTTTTTTCCTTGACTTGATCACGTTGTTCCTTCTTAATTTTTTATTCTAGTGAATTCTATGAATGGATCAGAACCATAATACTGGTGTGAATATTCTTGATAGGTTTAAGAAGATATATTTTGTAAGCTCATGATTGTGACATTTTTCTACTTTAGAAACTTTAAGTTTGATCTTAGTGATGCATTGGGAAGGCTGTATGCATCTTATAGTGTAAATCATGGTTTTCTTGTTATCTTGGTATTGAACTTGAAAAGTATGGGATTATTCAATTTATCTAGAAACTCAAAATTTTCATCTATAAATTAGTTCTCGTTTGAGGAAAAAATGGCAGTCAATTGGCAGATTTGAGCAAAATTTTGAAACTAATCAAATCAAATGTATACACACACACTGTTTATAAAATTTCTAAGAAATTGATCCTGTTACATTACATATCCATTCCAAAGATCTACCCATTCATTAATAACTGATTTTGTTGGGATTAATATATGTTTTTGTTGATTTGTGGCTGGAAGATATTGTTACATGAAGAGTTGGAGAGATAAGATAGTTGAGTTTTCATAAGGGATGAAGAAATAATTAACAGAGTGAATGTTGAAGGAGACTTTTGAGCAACAGCAAAAATTTTGTGAAAACTATTTTTACCAACTCTACCAGTGTTTAAATTGGTGTCAAAAAACTCTACTGTGTTCCTAGAATTGCTTTTGGATAGTGCTTTAGCAGATCTCAACGAAAAGAATCCAACACTGACATTTTTCTAACACAGCATATTTACAAGGTTCAATTGACAATCACGTTGGTGGCTGTTTGTTCTTTTTGTTACACAACATGAATTCAATAAATCTATTTTAAAATTTGTACTGTAGAAAATGAAATGCTAGATTTATGATTTGAATAAAGAATGTGTGACAGTTACGCATCCACTTTCAGAAACATATCTAGCAAATAAGAAAATATTTTTTGATAATCTATTTTAAAATTTGCACTGTAGAAAATGAAATGCTAAATTTATGATTTGAATAAAGAATGTGACAGCTATGCATCCACTTTCAGAAACATATCTAGCAAATAAGAAAATATTTTTTCTTGGCCTTGCATCAACTTTTTTTTCAACCCTTTTTTTTTTTTTTTTTTTTTCCTCCCAGGGAGTGTGTGGGGAGGGTTTGGTTCACTCCCATCTCCCATTGCCAATCCCTAAAAAGAAAAAAGGTATTGATCTAATTTTTATAATTTTGAATAAATGATCTGTTTTGGCCTCATTCTTTCTTTTCCCTTCCTTTTTATTGCTTTAAATACATTATGTTCACAACTTCTTCCATTCTTAATAAGTTCAATTTAGCTAAAAAAATCACATATAACTTGTTAGATTTTTGCACATTTCTGGTGAGTTAGTCAGGTAAAAAAAGTAAAATTAGTTTTGACTAAGAATTGTTACAATAGTCATAAAAGATTAAGAGAGGAAGTCAAAAGCGCATGTGTCTAGCGGAAAGAAACTTGACCACACAACCTGCTCAATCTATAAGCAAGAAACATCACAAAAGCAATTCACAGGATACCTCTTCCTGGGACCTTACCAGGAGTACTACTACTGACCCCCTTTCTTTCATCAACTAATCTTATTGTTGGGTCTTGTTTGTGGGATTGAGAATCTTGTGGCTATGCAAATCTATTTTTTCGTTAACCTCATATCCATTAAGGAAAACAGATGGAAATATCATATATAAATATTTTCTTTATTGAAGTTTCAAAGTGTTAGGAAATTATTATATCAAGTTTTGACAATTAAGAAGAGGAATTAACGCTTCTGCAGTTTTATGGATGGTTAAGAAGGTGTTAGAGGTGTCCCACATCCAATCCGGATGGGAAGTGAAATGTGTATAAATGGGTTGGATGTTAGCACCACCTAATGGCTTAAGCCTTTGGGTTGGACTGTGAAGCACCCCGCCTGTTACCGTTGGTGTCAGAGTTAGACCCAGTCCTTGATCCAGTGTCACACCAAGCGCCCTGCCCGGAGGTGTCCTGGTGTGCCTGCTGGGGTAGGCAGGGTGGCACCGTGAAGCACTACCCGTTACAAAGGTTAATACCCATTGTTGGTTTTGTCTCAGTGGGGAGATCTAAAGTTTGGTATTGTTTTGCTCAAAGTGGCTTTCTATATAATTAAACCTATATTATCACGCATGTCAGTTTGAACTTCCATCATTTCACCGAGTAATTACCATGCGTTTTATGTTTTGATAGTAAGTTTAATTCATATCATGTGTGAATGTGCTCAGCTTGGTGTCCCCCCCCCCCCCCCCCCTTTTTTTCTTTCTGATTATGTTATAATTCATATATTTGTTGAATTGGTGGTAATTTAGTCCTAACTACTTTGTAGGTTCTACTATATCAAGCAACATGGACGTTGCAAACATTTTGAAACCAGCGCTTGGCCGAGGTAAGCTTCAATGCATAGGAGCGACCACCTTGAATGAGTACAGAATGTATATAGAAAAGGACCCTGCTCTTGAGCGTAGATTCCAACAAGTGTTCTGTGACCAGCCATCTGTACAAGAAACCGTCTCCATTCTTAAGGGATTGCGCAAGCGCTATGAGTTGCATCATGGTGTTAAAATATCAGACAAGGCCTTAGTTTCAGCTGCAGTACTTGCAGACCGGTATATCATGGACCGCTTTTTGCCTGATAAAGGTAGCTGATGGTTTAATAATTTCAATTTTTTATTTATTTTTTGTTTATTTGGCAAGAGGAGAGTAAAAGAAAGTAATATTCGTTTATGCTGATAAGCTAACCTCTAGCAATTATTCCATGTTCTCTATTGTTGTTCCTACTACGTATTTAATACTACTTCGCAATTATGTGATGGCAACTTCACGAAGTTTATGGGATGAAAACTCCCTTATATAATCATATGAAGACTCACTATAATAACTTGGACACTTACCTCATTCTGCTAAATCTTTGTCTCTGTTTTTCAGCCATTGATCTCGTTGATGAAGCTGCTGCAAAGCTGAAAATGGAGACCATTACAAAGTCTAAGGAGTTGGATGAGATAGATGAAGGTTTGTTGAATTTAGAGATGAAAAAACCATCTTCGGAAGATGAAAATAGTCTATTTAGAAAAAGATGGGAAGAACTAAAGAAAAAATGGCTGCGTGAGGAGACTCTTATGACTAAAATTCGTTCAACTAAACAGGAGGTAATTTTCCTTCGGTGTAGAATCTCCAAAAGTTAATTAACCTCACATTTCTTTTCTTCCCATCTCTGATAATTTTTTAAATCATCTGATAGATTGCTAGGGTTAACAAAGAGACAGAATCCCTGAAGAATGCTGCTACGTCTCTTCAGAAGCAGCTGGAAGAGGCTGAGAAGAACTATGAGGACTCACAAAAGTCTGGAACCTCTTCGGTCTGCAATGAATTATCTGACCATAAAATTCAAGAGGTTTTAGCAGAATGGACTGGTATACCAGTATCAAACATTTCAAAGTCAGACATGGATAAGTTAGTCATAATAGAAGAGGTTCTCCATCAAAGGGTTATTGGTCAAGAAGTTGCAGTTAAATCAGTTGCTGATGCTATTCGACGTTCAAGGGCCGGAGTGTCTGACCCGAAAAGGCCAATAGCGAGCTTCATGTTCATGGGCCCTACTGGTGTTGGTAAGACTGAGCTGGCTAATGCATTAGCTGGTTACCTCTTTATCACGGAAAAAGCTCTTGTGAGAATTGACATGAGTGAGTACATGGAAAGGGGTTCAGTATCCCGCTTGATTGGTGCATCTCCTGGACTTGTTGGTCCTCAAGAGGGACAGCTTACTGAAGCAGTTCTCCGGAGACCTTATTCTGTTATTCTATTTGATGAGATTGAGAAAGCACATCCTGATGTTCTCAATATCTTGTTACAGCTTTTGGGTGATGGTAGGTTAACTGACTCAGGTGGTAGGACCGTAAACTTTAAAAATTGTATGGTGATAATGACATCGAATATTGGGGCCCAAGATATCCTAAGAATTTTTGAAAATAGAAAGGACAACGAGGAATCAATATATGATTCAATGAAAAAGCAGACTATGGAGTTGGCTAGAGAATCTTTTAGCCCAGAGTTCGTGAATCGTATTGATGAGTTTATTGTTTTCCAGCCTCTGAAGCCGGACGAAATTGTTAGAATTGCTAATATACAGGTATCTTCTCTTCTTAAGTATTTATCGTTTTCACTCAATTTAGTCCACATCATTTTTTGTTACTATAAACCTTCATTACATGTTTCTCTAATCAATCTGCTTTGAGGCATTAATCAACTTGAGTTAGAGTGGATCCTTTTAAGGTCTATCTATACTCTGAAATAATCAGCTCCCTTGACGCATTGTGTCAAAAAGTGTTCACAATGCTACCTTTGATCATTATATGGTTATAATCTTCCACTTGTTTTGATATATCTTATTCTTTTTTTGATGCACAAGGAGAGTTTAGCCTCAAAAATATAGGTTGAGAATCCAAATCACTCGGCCTACTAGGCTGGTGTTATTTGTTTGGGTATATGACATTGTAATTGTTTCTCCATTATTAATCTATTGTCCCACCACCAAATCTTTAGCTCAAGGGGTATGTCCTCGTATTTTTCTATGGGAGGTTGAGCGTTCAAGTCTCGTATGGGACATAGAATTTGCTTTCTTTTTTGATAGGTGAAATCTACTGTCTTTAGGTTCGGTTAATTAGCATTGACCTGATTCAATTTATGCTTATGTCTTGGTTATCAGAGGATGTTCTAAAACCAACTAATAATTCAGAAAAGCTCACCACTACATGGTCAAAATCCATTAATTTAAATTAGATCAATGGTTAAAGTACCTGGTATTGGTCAGATGCACCCAAAAAAAAAAAATCCTTATTATTTTCAGTTTTTAAGTTTATTTATTTATTTATTTTCAATTTATTATAAAATTAGGACTATTCTTTTCCTGGAAATTAAATTATTACTATTATATTGATGTATTGGTACAGATGCAGTAACTGAACCTGCGTTAACTCAATAATCCCTTAGTTTTAATTTTGTCCCTTAGTTCCTTCCCCTGTAGAACAAAATTAAGGAACTGTAATCCCTTAATTTAACTATATTTTTATATCTTATATTTGTTATTGTATTTTAATACATTTTAATAATTTTAAAGTAACTAGTGTCACTAACATCTATGTTAATTATATATGTTTCAGATGAACAGCTTGAAAGATAGACTCAAAGAAAAGAAAATTGAACTCCACTACACAAAGGGAGCTGTTGATGTTATAGCAAAACTGGGATTTGACTCGAACTTTGGAGCCAGGCCAGTGAAAAGGGTGATACAACAGATGGTTGAGAATGAAATTGCAATGAGGGTCTTCAGAGGTGATTTTAAGGAAGGAGACTCGATTCTTGTTGATGTTGACATGTCCCCGTTAGCCAATGAGCTTCCTCCCAACGACAGATTGCTTATCAAGAAATTGGATATTTGAATGGTGGGAAAACAAGCAGAACCTTAACGTGAGAATATTTTTTATTTTTTATTTTTTGCGAATGTTATATTTTAGTGTTTTTAAATGCTATATTATTTGGGTTTTTGCTTAATGGAGGGTTTGAGGTATAACTTTGGCTCTATTGTTGCATGATAAAAACTCAGACTACATAAATTGAAAGAGAAAGATAAGGATTGCCTTGTTAGTTATGCCAACTCTCTTCACGGGGACAATGTAAAAGAGGATTAAATCTATGTTGCATTTGGGAGAATTGAATTAGTGCTTTGGATTTGGAATTTTTAAAACTTTGTTTAAAATTTTGTACTAAATTTTTTTCAATCTCAAATGTACTCCCAAGCATAGCGCTAATGCTATCGAACACTACATTTGATCTTTGATTACACCAGAGTAAGTAGTGACTTTCTTCTGCATCTAAAAGAATGGTACTCTACCTTGTCATGATACAACACAACAAACAGGGGTGCGTGTGCGTGTGTTTGTTTTTTTTTTTTAAAAATACATTTCATATCAATTTACTTGGAACTTTGAAATCTCATCCTTGATCTGCAACTGAAATATTCCTTGGGGTTTTTATCACTCTGAAAACAGTTTTTTAAAAACTATTATTTTAAGGCCAAATGCTTGGTTTGTAACTCTGAAAATAGTTTTTCATTTTCAAAGAACTGAAAACAGAAAATTGTAACGTCGGTCTTGCTTGATAACTCTGAGAACAATTTTCTGTTATCATAAAACTGAAAATAGAAAACTATACAAAAAACTCTGCTTGGTTCAGTTTTCTGAAAATTATTTTTAAAAACTCATTTATAAAAATGTATGTTTTCAGATAATTGTCTTTTATTATTCTCTGAAAATTGTTTTCTGTTATCTGAATTCTTGAGAATTGTTTTCAGAATTACAAACTAAACAAGCACATGATTCAGTTTTCTAAAAACTGTTTTATAAAAACTCAGTTATAAAAATGTTTTTTTTCAAAGAACTATAAAAGATTTGCTTAGTTTGTCACTTTGAAAACAGTTCTCAAGAATTTAGAGAATATATAAAATTGTTGACAGAGAACATTGTAGTTCTCTAAAACAAGCATTTATACCTGAGTTTTCATAAAACAGTTTTTAGAAAACTGTTTTATGTAGGAGTTTTTGTACAGTTTTTTGTTCTCAGAAAACTGTTTCCATAATTACAAACCAAGCAGGCTAGTTCTCTATAACAGTTTTTTATTTTCTTGTTCTTGAAAATTGTTTTCAAAGTTATAAACTAATTATGTTTTTATTTTCTTGAGGGGCCAAATGCTATTTTGATAAATTTAATTAGAAAAGATAAAATAGAATGAAAAAAACAAGTCAAAATAGTCATTAAATATGTCAGAAGGGGCACTTTGTAACTTTTGAAGGCACATGAAAGTTATTTGTTGACAAAGATAGCCCTGGACTGTATTTTTGCCACTTTTTGAAATCATTTTGCCTAATAATAATGGTCATATAAGTGATGAATAATGGTTATTCAATTAGTGGTTGATAGAGTTTCGGATTATAATTCATATAGAGTTACAAGGAGTTGAAATTTCGATACAAAGAATATAATATTTGATTCACTTTGTACTTGTAATAATTGTATAGTTATATATATATATATATATATATATATTGTTTTCCTAATATTTTAAGTCAAGTGCTTCAGCTTGTGTAATATTTGGAAATACCGAATTGGTGGCCTGAATTTAGAATTAAAAGAAATTTAATTAAAAGTTTAAACCAAATTTGACGTCAAGGCAACATAAATAATTTTGGAAATTCGTTAGTTTAGTGTTGTCATTTTTAGAATATTCTATAAAATTCAAGTCAGGATATTTTACCCAAAAAACTTAGGCTATGTTTGGAGGAGTTCTCCATTCCAAAATTCCTTCCATTTGAAGACCTTTGAAGAATGCCTTTCAATGGAATGAATTTAAAAGAAAAAAAGCTATTTGGGGATGTACTTTTTGAAATTCCTTTAATAATTAACAGTGTTTTAACTAGACAATTTTATCCTTCATAATTATGAAAAATTAAAGAAAATGACGAAAGCGTTAATTCACAGAGACATAATTATGCCTTTCAATATACTTGTGTGCGTTAATTCACATAGACAGATTTGAGAGAGAGAAATACGTGAAGAGAGAGAGACTAGGGTTCCAAACGTAGATCTTGAGAACTAAAAACTTAAGGTTAATTTCAAAATTAGAAAGGTATGATGTTTGAAGAATTGTGACATATAAAAAAACTCTTAGAGAATTAATTAAATAGGTAAAGGATTATAGTATTAGATACTTTTATTTTCATGCCAAAGAGAAACAACAATCTCATTAGCAACAATTGTCAATGTTGAGAATTAAAAACTAATTAAAATTCTAATTGTATGCAGACATGAGAGATAACATGATGTGATACTATTCTACTTTCAAGAAATATCTTCAAGAGTCCAACAATAATACATTAATTTCTAAACAAAGAGAAACTTGCCAATAGGCAAATCACCTATGATGATATTTTTCTATAATTTTTCTAGCACTGAATTTTTATAAAGAATAAGGAGAGAGAATGGTGTACATAAGGATAAAGATTCTATTGTTATTGAGAAAAATTGGAAACCGAGATTTGGGATGGTAGAGGTAGAGGTAGAGGTAGAGGAAGACAGCCTTGTAATCAGTAACACATTTAAGGCTAATAGGGACAACATAAAATAACGCGTAGGGTCAAATTTGTAAAAAAATATATTAATTACTTAAAACGCGATTTTGCTCCCGAAAGACTATCTGAAAAGCAAGGTTTTGTAGTTTTGGTTGACCGGGCTTTTAGACCACTGCACTTCTTCTCTAAGTCCGTTTAAGAAATTTGCCAAACACACAATTTTTTTTAGGAATGACTTTTTGGGCTTGAAAGCCCGTTTTAGAGCCCCAAGAAGTCACGCCAAACAAGGCCTTATTTTGATAAAAATTAAGTTTATTATATCTAATTTTAAAATTTTAAAAAAGAAAATTAAAAATATTTTTAAAATTAGTTAAAAATTAGATTTAAAAAACGTTCTTTAAAATAAAAAAAATGGGTAATACGTGATAAAGTCTTATATAAACTCTTCTAAAGCTCTTAAAAAAAATAAAAACTCTTTTTAAAATTAATTAAAAATTGAATAGAAAAACTATTTTTAAAAAATAAATAAAATATGTAATATGTGATAGAGATTTATAGACACTCTTTTAAAAACACTTTTTAAAATTAATTAAAAATTAGATAAAAATTCAAAATTGGATGAAAATTTAAAATTGGATAAAATTTTTTTGTACGAGTCTTATAAAAACTCTTTTTTAAAAAGAAAGTAAAAACTCTTTTAAAAAATTAATTAAAAATTTGTCAATTATGGAAACCCTACATCACTAATCCACCTTACTCTTTCTTAATCCACCTACCTTACTCTTTCTTCTTCCCAAAACCCTACGACAATGGTGGCGTCGGATTCATAGGATTCTGATTGTAAGCAATGAATTCTGTTGACTTGTTACTGCTTTGGTATTGCTAATAGAATTGAAGGGATTTTTTAATTTTATTTTCTGGGTGTATGGGTAGGTAAATACTCTCACCCACCTAAAAATACTGACTACGGTAGAATTGAAGTTGTTATTGTTAAACAAGTTTGCAACAGTAGAATAGGCGAAGTAATTAAATGTGTGGTTTTTTAAAAAAAATTTATTAAGGTCACGACATATTTGTTGTTTAATTTTGTGCAATATGTAGGTGATGAAGATACTGAGCTCAAAAGATATGGTACCAACTCGACCAAGCTCGCTAGAAATGGTGAGCTTGATCCTTAGAGATAGTCGAATTCGGCGTAGCCTGCAGATATTATGTAGGAGAATGAAAAATAATCCTGTTCTTATTGGTGAGGCTGGGGTTGGGAAAACTGCAATTGCTGAAGGGTAATGCATATCTCTCACTCTTATTAATGTTTTAGAAACCCATCAGATAGTGTCTTGCTTGCAATCTTTATCTAAATAATATTTAATTCGAATAGATTTATGTGAATTTCTATTAAAAATTGCTGCATAAATGTGAACTTCAAAGGAGTTATTATTGTTTACCGAATCTTCCACAATGGTCACTTTTTAGGTTAATTATTGAGAATGTTGGTGATATATATATGTATTTTATTGAAATTCCTGTACAATTATGTGATTTATTTATTTTTCTTGATACAAACTTTCGAGTTGCTTTTATTTTCCTTGATTGTGAGTGTTGAACCGAAAGGTGGTTGATTTTTCATACTTATTCTATCTATGTATTTATTTATATTTTTGGTTGAAACCATTTTACGTATTTTATTCAAATGTGTTAAAGGCATGATTTCTTAAACCTATATTCAATAAAATATAGGTTTCCTCATATTACTCTAAACCAGCTTCTTTAAAGATGGATATACAAACACACACACACACACACATTAAGATGAACAGATGTTTCAATTGGCAATTATTGGTTGTAGCCAACAACTTTCAACTAAGAACACTAAAGCTATAAGAAAAGCATTTATATAATTTTAGTCAGAAATTTTAACTATTTTTGTTATCCTTGTAATAATTGTTTGCATTTTGGCTTGTACTTTGCAGGTGATCTCAGTGAATTTATTTTCACTAGTGGCTGGAACTAAATATGTTGGAACGCTGCAGAGAAGAATGGAAACTATTTTGAAAGGAAGTTTTTGCTGCAAATGGGCAGATACTTTTATTCTTTGATGAGATCCACACTATTTTTGGTGCAGGTGTGTTTTCTACTTAGAATCAACCAATAATTAGAAGGCCATACCTAGTGTTGTCCCCTTTAATCTAGGTTCCTAAAAGGGATGCACTGAGCAGAAACCGTAATTTTCGCAAATGGATTTCCTCATTCTTTTACTACACCAAGCAATGACTCCCACATAGAAACTGTAGTGCAGTAGTGATAAATTTCATCTTTTTTTCCTTGACTTGATGTTGCTCCTAGCTTCTTAATTTTTTATTCTAATGCATTCTATGAATGGTTCAGAACCATAATTCTGGTGTGAATATTCTTGATAGGTTTAAGATATATTTTGTAAGCTCGTGATTGTTACATGTTTGATAGTTTGATATTAGTGATGCATTTGGTAGGCTGTAGGCATCTTACAGTGTCTAAATAAAAAAAATCTGGGATTATTCTAGTTATCTAGAAACTTAGGTTTTTTTTGTTATAAATTTAGTTCTCGTTTGAGGAAGAAATGGCAATCAATTGCCAGATTTGAGCAAATGATTTGAATAAAGTAC